AGACTGAAGAGCTCGGTGCTGTGGGCTGCTGCTTGCTGAGATACCAGAACAGGCTGGACTCTGTCTGATTGCATTTATCAGTTTATCATGACAAAGGCCCATCTGGGCACAAGGCAGCTCTCTGCAGGGCCCTGGGTCTGAGTCACTGTGACTGTGAATAAGTGGATGGTGTGTCAGGCATGGTCATGTGGTCATGGTGTTTTTGCCCATGTGACCTGGAGTGTGGCAGGACTCAGACGTCCTGGCCAGGAGCGACCGGGAGACTCTGACCAGCTCTACACCTTTAAGATCCCTGAGGGACACTGGGAACCATCACATATTCTGTAATTTACATGACTGACCCCCCCCCTCCCCTCCACAAAGAAAAAAGTTCCTATGGGAGGATGGATATGTGAAAAAACATTTTGAGCAGGTGGGTGCCACTGGACCACAAAGGTCTGGGTGTAGGGTGTCGTGTCCACGTTACCATGGCAACCGACCAGCAGCCCCCAGTGACTCAGGTAATGAATCCCTGATGCAAACTGCGGTGATAACCTGGTCATGGTTTAGATGGGGCCAGCTGGGGTGAATTTGGGTGGTGCGTGTAGTGTGTGTGGAGGGGGGGCACACTAGTGGAGCAGGAGCCTGGGTGTGGGTCTCCCTGCCGTAGGGGGGGTTTGTCCGTTTGTGTTTTGGTCTCTAAAGGGATCATGCATCTTGCTTCCGGCTGTGTATCGTGATCAGGGTCACGGTGAAAATTATAAGGAGGCATCAGCCTCGGTTCTGCGTCAACAAACAATAAGAACAGTGATAGTCTGGGCCCTGTAGGCTGTGGTGGGGAGGGGGGGGGACGAGGGGGGGGGGTTAATTCCCATGCCGCCTCTGTCCTTTTAGATCCACAGCGAAGCTAGGTGGCCATGGGCAGTGAACATGGCTGGTCAGACGGCAGCGTTCTCAGACGGCAATGTTCTCAGATGGCAACGTTCTCAGCTCTGCTCTCTCAGAACATGGCTGGTCAGACGGCAACGTTCTCAGATGGCAATGTTCTCAGATGGCAACGTTCTCAGCTCTGCTCTCTCAGAACATGGCTGGTCAGACGGCAACGTTCTCAGATGGCAATGTTCTCAGATGGCAACGTTCTCAGCTCTGCTCTCTCAACCCTGCTCCTGAGTGCAGCCTCGCTGTTTGCTGCAATAACGCTGCCTGTCACACAATGACGCAGAAAACTACCTTAAAAACATTAAACAATAAAACATCATAAATATGCATTAATGCATATCGATCTTGGAAAGCACAGCACACAGAGAGCCGTTTGTTTCTATCTCTGGGACTCAGTGCATGAAAACACAGTAACTGCTGTGGATGCCAGAGGGGTCTCTGGAGAATGGGATGTTAAGCCTCTTTGTTTTGTGAAAGTAATATTAAATAAACCAAGCAGACAAGTGACCCCCACCATTCCGAAATCCCCTTCAGGATCGTTTCCCCCAGAGTCACCCCCCACTCCCAACCTGACGATCATGCATTCTCCCCTCCCGGCTTCGTCAGGCAAATACATACAGATTCTGGGAATATGTTTGTGCCGCACAAGATTGTCGCTAGTCATGTGACTTAATGGACAGTGTGTACCTGATGTGGTATGGTGTGCTGCATTTCTGTGGTTGCAAACGTCTTCCACATACCTATAACCTTGCTGTGAAGTGTTGTGAGACGTCATGGGTGTTTAGGAGGCGGAGTCAGCTCAGGGGTCACGACCCCTCAAAGAGGCGGAGTCAGCTCAGGGGTCACGACCCCTCAAAGAGGCGGAGTCAGCTCAGGGGTCATGCCCCTCAACTCATATGTAAACCTTTAATATAATTTGCCATGAGTGTGAGACTGGGAGCAATGGCCCAGCTTTTAGGGTTTAAAAAGTGTCTTTATATGTCATTCATTTGGCCAGCCTGTCATACTACAAGAGTAGCGTGTACAGTACTAATCACTGTGTTGTATGGATGTTTGCTATCCTGAAGATTAAGTTTTTTTCACACTTACCTGTGTCTACAGGTGTGTATCCCAGAATATCTGATGAAAATCTGAGTAGCTGTGAAGTGGGAGAGAACTAGGAGTAATGGATTACACTCACACACACACACACACACACACACACACAGATAGTTGTGTAATCATATCTTTTTGGGGGCCGCTCATTCATTTCTATGGGAAAAATGCTAACGCTAACTATGACAACCTTAACCCCTACCCAGCCCTAACCATAACCATAAGTAACTATGACAACCTTAACCCCCACCCTGCCCTAACCATAACCATAAGAAACCAAGCAAAATACAAGAGTTTTTGCATTTTTCATGAAAAGTTTTATAAAAGTTTTCCCATAAGTTCCTGGTCCCCATAAGATTAAAAAAACAAAACAAAAACGGGCATTTATCACATTGTGGGGACATTTGGTCCCCACAAGGTAAGGTATACCTGGACCACACACATACTCACACAGACACACACACACACACAGACAGAGACACACACACACAATCACACACAGACGCACACACACAAACACATATATTCATCTGAAAAAATTAGGACACCTCATTAAATATTAAATTCTTTATTAAGAAATATCAAAATGTCAGTATTAAATCAATATTAAATAAAGTGAATTTGTTTCTTATTTTTGCATAGATGATACAATTGCATCACCTTTATCTACAGATATAATCTGAAAGAAGATTTAATACTGATATATTGCTATTTTTAAATAAAGAACTAAATATTTAATGGGTTGTCCTAATTTTTTCACATGACTGTATTTAAATAAAAGGTACAGGCATGTGATTTTATTTTGTAGTCTTCCCTTTATTTGTATGACCTTTGATGATGTTTACATTTCAGTTAAAATTTATGCAGGAATTCCGAAGACCCGAAAGGGTTCACACATGTTGAAGCGGCCCCCGTCCACAGCGATAGCCCCCCGCGCGTCAGCAGATGTGATGGCCCCGTCCTTGTGCGTGCGGCCGGCCGGGCGGCCTTACCCCGCTGCCGTACCGCCGTGGCCGTGAGCCGTTCTCTTTATCTCTCTGCCTGTGAGCGGAATCTGGCCCCGGGCCACATCCAGCTAAATGTCATCGCTTGCGTCTTATCGTTTGATATCGTTTGACAAAGCCGACTTCCTCGGGACGGGGGACGCCAACAGCCTCCAGCACTGACTTACTACGTAGAGTGTACCACACTCTGTAGGGACTGGGGGGGCGGGCAGCCTTTCACCTACAGAATGAGGGGGGTTCAAATCCCCTGTGGTGTCTAAGGCTGCCATGACCAGTGCTGCTCTAACCGCATTTGGGGCCCAGGCAAGCCCCACCCTCATCCTGCCCCCCCTCAGAAAACCCTGTCCTGCCATGGTGAGTGAGGGCTCCTGCTCTGTGCCTCCTGGGGTAGACCCCAGACTCAGTGTCATTTAAACAAAAAGAAAGAATTTGAATTAACAAAGGAGGTAGACAGACAGGCAGGTGTATGATTATTCCCGTTAGGAAGCTCACAGATCTGCTGTGACAGTCAGACCACTGTCATGACGGCTAATTCTTTACAAAGTCCTAGTGGAAGCTTGGCTGACGCAGTGCGTGTGTGTGTGTGGGGGGGGGTGTTTGTGTTGGTATGTGTTTACTGCAAACTCCAACTTGTTAACGGGGCGGCAGCTGAACAGGAAGCCATCGCACGAGGCTTCCCCAAAACGTACTTTTTTTCTTTTTACACACAACATTTTTTTACTTTAATTCTAACATGTGAAATATGACTGGGAACAAAAAGTTCTGTCTCTCTCTTTTTCCTGTAAATTTCACACATGAATAAGTAAACAGGCCTCATTTAATGATTCATTTTGCACTCAGTAGTGTTTTTTTTCTTGCTTTATTTTTATTTGTTGTTCTTTAACTAATTTTATCACAGAATTATATCCGCATCTCCATTTAGTGTCACTTGAGACTAAATGTTTTTATTTTTAGGATGTCTTTCCTGAAAATACGACCTTGGTTTGATAACAGGTCACCGAAAATTAATTTTTATACAAATAACCTTCTAAGAATAAAACACAGGCAAATGTTTGCTGAACTGAGGGCACAGCAGCACACGGTAGCTTTGTGTGCTCTTAACCTGTAAGGCATCTCCTAAATAAATACATAGTAAGTACAGCTTGGATGGGCGCGATGATGCACTCTTTCCCAAGCAGATCATTTTTCACCTTTCGGGACCTGAGCACTTCACTGATTGGCTGGTGAGATTTCACCATATTTTCCCGTATTGTGATAGGCTGAGACACAGTGGCATTACGTTCAGGAGCACTTACACCACCGGGCAGCTGCTAATAAGGCCCGTTGACCCTAACCTACAGCCGTGTGCACTGGAGCGATGAAGGACGTGCTCTCTCGCACGCACATGTCTCATCTGCACTCCTGCACAGACAATACTCAGAAAAGAGAGCAACACTGGGCTCCTTAGCCTCCATCCATCTTCTATACCTGCTTGTCCTGTGCAAGGTTGTGGGGTCCGGAGCCTATTCCCATTGACTTAGTAGGCACCATGTGCACACACAGTCAGTTAGGTAACTCCAACTCACCTTAGCATGATTTTGGACTGGGTGGAGGGGGGGGGGAGGATCCAGACAACCTGAAAGAAACCCCATGAGGTTGATATGGGGAGAGCATTCAAACTCCACACAAATGGAGCCACGGCAGAGATTTGAGCCAAGGTTCTAGAGGTGTGAGGCAACAGTGCTAACAGCAGCACCACTGCGGCGCCCCCTACCTAGTCTTGATATATTACACTTTTCAGGTCTTCCTTTTCCTTGGGGTTTGTTGGATATGCTATTTTTTTCCACCTGCCCCGAGGGAGCTGGTGCAACAGAACCATACATAGGATCTTGAGATAAGAACCACCAGCGAGGGAGAAGTCAGAAATAGACAGAGGCTACAGGAAATGAGGCGTATAAAAACAGGAAGTTTACGTCACTACTTCACCCATTTTGCGGTGCTTAAACAAGGTCGTTTCCCAGGACCAGCAACCTGCAGGTTTGGCCGCCACTGGATGGCTGGTCACAAACTTTCTGAGAAGTCAGGCTGTTTTTTTGGGGGGGGTGGGGATTGAGTGACATTGGGATTTCACAGAAATCTGACGAGCCACTTCCTAGGAAAACGGCGCCTGTTGCTGCCTAATGAGCAGAACGGGTTATAAAAGGGTCTTATCGGCACTGAAGATCTGCCAGACCAGCCTCAGCCAGGCCGGCGGTGGACGACGAGCGGATTTCGCTGGATTCCACATCTGTATGTGACAGCGGTATTCTGGGTATTATTTTAATGCTGTGTTTCAAAGCCTGAAGCGTGAATGTTTTCTGAAGGGTGATGTCTAGCGAGAGGCCACCCAGAGCTTCACAGAGACAGGTGTCTACCTAATCGGACTTTGCAGACGTAAGGGATGGCTGATTGGATCAGAGACCATGCAGAATTCATTGCAAAGGAGGATATTACCAGCATGAACAATCGGTCTGAGCGTACCACCTCATCAATGTACAGCCAGCCATTGGGGGCGGCATCTGCAGCAGGGAGGCTCTTACCCAGTAAGCTGTAGGTTTGAGTCCCAGGAGGAGCATCGCATGTTTTGCTGGTATGAAAGACTGTAAATTATCATATAATGCAAAAAAAATAGAAAGAAATAAGGGCCACTGTCGATAGGATTTATCGTAAGCTGTCAATCACTGACCGGGTTAACCTCATTGGTACAGACAACAGGGTTTTTTTGTGATTGATGGCTCTCTGAGGCTCCGCCCACCACGGGCTTCAGAGCCCCACCTCCCTGGCTGAATAAACCGGTGGGCTAATGGTCTTTTCCAGATGTAGGTGTTTAGCGAATCCCCCATGAAAATGTGTCATAACTCTACTTTCTGCCAGGATTATTTATACTTTGTCAAGTTTCCAAGTTTCTGAGATCATCCCGGAATGTAAAAAGAAAACTCACAGATACACCAGCAACCATCGTATTAGGTACTCCTGTCTAGCAGCAGGTAGGACCCACTTTTGCCTCCAGAACCTGAAGTAGATGGGTTTGGGCCCCTAGCCACGTATTCAGTTCAGGAGTTTGAACTCAACCACAGTCGGCAAAACCTAAAATCACAATCACACCGTTCTCTGTCAACTGTAGTCACTGTGGTGTGTATCTGAGATGCTGGGATCACCAAATATGGAGCCAGCAATCACAATCCCAGCACATTTTGCAATCTCTTAGACCTGGAGTCTTAGCTGCTTCGCCAGAAAGCAAACAAACCTGTCAAAACTGTCCAGATGCTGAATATATTTAGCAAACAGACCAAACAGAACAAACAGACCAAACAAAACAAACAAACCAAACAACAAACAGGCCAAACATCCAGCATGGTTTTTGTACAGGTTGCTGTATCTGCACATTATCTGTATCTGTAATTAACAGCAAGTCTCTCCGCACCTATTTAGGGAGCAGGCATTTTTCGGCATTCTGAACAACACACGCATTTGAGGAAATCAACAACAGACGGATTCGAGGAAAACTCCTGTTAATCATTGTCCACTTCCCGCAGCCCACTAAGTGTTTCTGCTTGGGTGGGTAAGCCTGAAACTTTATTCCTGTTGTCGTTTTTCAGTCTGGGTCACCTGCTTCAGGGGCGCTGCTAATGATTGTGGGCCCCTTGAATGCATATCATATTGCCCCCCCCCCCAAGTCAAGATCAATCCAGTCATATTTTCATCATTATATTTTTAGGGCCCCTGTCACTCAGGGGCCTTTGGAATCTTCCTGGGACTCAGTTCCAGATTTTAATCAAGAGTTCAGTCATTTTCACAGTTTCAGTGCGTCACTTAAACATACAGTGTTTGGGTTTGGTCACCATTGGCCACATAAGTACCGGGGATCTTATCTCCAGCTCCGATAAAGCACTAAATCCACAACTCATTTTAAAACACAAAAACTAAATGAAAAAAGGTAACACACAGAATGAACCTGTCACGGAACGGGGAAACAGGAGCCGGAGTTGCAGGATCAGCGAATGAGGGATTTATTAGGAAAGTCACATTGAACACGAGGAAAAAGCAGGCAGTAACGTCAATGACAGGACTAGGGAGACATACTCGAACGTGGACTGAAATACACAGGATGAATTAACAACAACAAGAAACAGCTGGCAACATGGGGATTCCATATGAGGTAGTGAGGGGGCGTGGCACACGGGAGGATCGGACGAGCAGGTCATGACAGATCCTCTCTGTCTGAACTTCACAAATGTTTTTCCACTGGGGGCTGGATTCCGTCTGCCTGTGGGCTGCACCTGGTTCTGTGCTTTAGGACACTGTGTCCGCTATCAGAAAGTTGTCTGTTCAAATCCCATGGCTAAATGCTAGCTGAACCCGTACTGTGATCCATTCAAATCCCATGCCTAAATGCTAGCTGAACCTGTACTGTCATCCATTCAAATCCCATGGCTAAATGCTAGCTGAACCTGTACTGCGATCCATTCAAATCCCATGGCTAAATGCTAGCTGAACCCGTACTGTGATCCATTCTTCATTTCAGCTGTATGCGTCTGTCACAGAGCAAGATGGGATAGGTGAAAAGGCAATCTCTTCTTTATTCTATAAATAATTTAAGGAAAAGACAAAAAAATAACTACCTAAAAAAGAAGCTTTTCTAATTATAGTATGGCTGTTGTGTTTAGATCAACGTTAATTGCAGTGCTGAATGACACAAAGTCTCAAAAAAAAAAAAAATCAGTTAAACCAAATGCTTGTGACCAGTGCTTGTTAAAAAGATTGCCAGTCTATGTGAGGAGTGATTCTGCACAGCCATTGTCGCTTTTATAGTAAGTGTGATAACATAATGTAATTTTAGTTAGATTAGTAATTTTTCCATATTACACACTCCGACACACAAGTTAAATATAACTTAACCCTCCAGTGTGGGCTTTTTATTTTTTTCCCTCCGATTATGTGTGAATGGCACATGATGGATGACATCATCATTGGGGGACATGAGCCTCACGTTGCAGCGAGAAGCTGGTGTGGCCAAGTCAGCCTCATTGTATCCAAGACGACGCGGACACCCAGACCTGTGACTAAGACTGATTGTGCTAGTTTCCAGCTCTACATCTCGCAGTGGTGGGGTTTTCGGAGGAGGCACTTTCATATCCCTTTTCTGATGCTGTTTCAGAACATCTCTTTAATTAAACAGGGTTGGTTCATGTGGACATGTCTGCCTGACTGGCAGTCAGAAGCATCTAGTCGCTGGTCCACAGTAATGGGTGAATTCCTCCTCACAAACCCAATCACACAGACTCTTCATTGATGCTGTAAGCTGTCTCTGCCACTCTGTTTATGAGTGTGAGTCGTGTGTCTGAGTGTCGGTTGTGGTGTGATGCTGTTCGGTCTGTGTTTCGTTCTGTCTCTGTTCCTGTCTTTACGAGTGTGTCAGAGTTCAGGTGTGTTGGTGTGTGCCATTGTGTGTTTGTGTGTACCATTGTGTGTTGGTGTGCACCATTGTGTGTTGGTGTGCGCTATTGTGAGTTGGTGTGCGCTATTGTGTGTTGGCGTGCTTACATGTAAGCAGCCCAGGTTCTCTGTTTGACAGTTTATCACTGTTGATAGTTTTGACTAACACAGATCACCATTACAAATATATGAATTTCATGTGTACTGAATCTATATTTAAAATATGTAAGTATTTATGATCTCACACTTTAACACATGAAAGGGAAAACTTAACACTTAACTCATAGGAAGATTAATAATAGAGCCTGGATACATGACACATTCTGATCGCCCACAAGAGTCAACATGACACATAAGAAGGACCTAGAAAGTACTTGTCAGCATGTAGGGAATCTGCAGTCAGTGACTGACAGGGGGTGGGACCAAGAGGCAGGTTGTCCAGTGTGTGATGAGTATGTTACAGTGATTGGCAGGGGGTGGGACCAACAGGCAGGTTGTCCAGTGTGTGCTGAGTATGTTACAGTGATTGACAGGGGGTGGGACCAAGAGGCAGGTTGTCCAGTGTGTAGTGAGTGTATTAGAGTGATTGACAGGGGGTGGGACCATTAGGCATGTTGTTCAGTGTGTAGTGAGTATGTTACAGTGATTGACAGGGGGTGGGACCAACAGGCAGGTTGTCCAGTGTGTGATGAGTATGTTACAGTGATTGACAGGGGGTGGGACCAACAGGCAGGTTGTCCAGTGTGTAGTGAGTGTATTAGAGTGATTGACAGGGGGTGGGACCATTAGGCATGTTGTTCAGTGTGTAGTGAGTGTATTAGAGTGATTGACAGGGTGTGGGACCATTAGGCAGGATGTTCAGTGTGTGGTGATCGTGTTAGAGTGATTGGAAGGGGGTGGGACTAACAGGCAGGTTGTCCAGTGTGTGATGAGTGTGATTCAGTGATTGACAGGGGATTGGACCATTAGGGAGGTTGTTCAGTGTTTGAAGCATCTCAGCAGTTGAGAAGGGTGGGGCCATGCACACGCAAACGGACATATACACTCTCACAGACAGAAGAACACTTATGCACATATTAATAATTGCTGGGACATTGACTCATTGCCTCTCATCCTAATGAATTTAATGATCTCTGACCCCAATCCTCCAAAACTCAATAACAAATGGAATCCAACACGGTGGAGTAAACCCAAAATATGTTTTTCAGAAGTACATTGACATGCACACACACTAACGCTTTAATTGCCTGCATTAGAGAGGACCAACCCGGTAACTGACAATAAATGTCCCTTTTCCACAGTTCAAGAAAACTCAGGGAAAGGTCAGAACTGAGCCCTGTATTTTCTGTTGTTCCTCATCTGACCAAGATCTCCAACAGGGTGGGTGTGGAGAGGCAGCCCTGCCCTGGCCTACCCTGCCCCCACGACCCCCACGACCCCCACCTGGAGACGGGCTCTGAAGAAGAGGGAAGGGGGCCAAAGCTGATCACAAGCAGAAAGAATTTTCATTCGATTAATGATGTTTGGGGGGATAATGCATGAAGTCTGTGTTCTCGGGTTGTTGTGCACAACACTGGGGAGCGTCTTGTCTCCCTTCCTATTCACCTCCCACATGACAGACCTCCAGCTCCAGCTCACGCCTCCTACAGGCGTCCTCCAGTGACTCCTCTCTCCAGTGACTCCTCTCTCCAGTGACTCCTCCATTGTGGAGCACATCGGCGATGGAGGTGAGTCACAGTATATGGCGGGCTTTGACTCGTGGGGCAGGAAGAAGCACATGTAGCCCGATTCCGGTCAGTTGACACCAAACAACGGAACAAACTCATCAGGGGAATGAATCTACCTTTGGGGTCAATAAAGTAAATCATCTATCTATCCATGCAGCTCCATGCACTAGCCAGGCAGCTAAAAGTCTCTCAGCGAACAGCATTTCTGTGTGAGAAGCATGAGAATTAGCTCTAGAGGAGATACTGATGACTGTTTGCTAAAGACCTCCTACCAAATCTTTTTTTCCCATCTCCTCTCAAGATGAACCACAAGGGATAGAGATTTCTGGAAGCTGGGCAGGTGTGTCTTGTGCTGGTACCACGAGACCTCTTTTGCGGGCAGCACTGTAAGATGTGTGACCCCGGTCTGAGACTGGTTATTCTGAGTGTCAATTAAATGTTGTTTTACTCTGAAATTACTTGTGTTTATAACTGGATATTTTTCTGAAGAACCTCATGCCTCAGGAGTGAAACCCTTCCTGGAATCTGAACCGATGACCTTCTGGATACAGCCCTAAAATTTAACCCCTACACTCCCCACAGCTCAGCACTCGGCCATATGAACACCTGACAGACGGACCATGTCCCTCGCTTCCAGCACCCGGCAGCCTGTGGGGGGGAGAATGCCCCGCACTGGGCCGGGAGGCGAATGTCAGTTGCTGGGCAACCTCACAGCGGCTGTAACGTTCTTGCCTTTTAAACACCCGCGTCTATGAACCTGGATGGAGAGCGAGAGAGGGGCTGAGAGACAGGGGGGGCTGCTTAAAAGTACTGCAGAATCGGCACTGAAAGTGCATGTGTGTGTGTGGGGGAGGGGATATAAGCAGAGAATAAACTGAGTACATATGTATATTTGCAAGCAATATGGGTCCATAGTGTAATGACTGTACGTGTCAGCACTCTGAGCAAATCTGTGGAACATAAAGTTTTCAAGAATTTCTCCCTCGAATCAATGAAGCTGATCCAACTATGTGTCTCCATATATATATGTGTTCATGCAATTTTTAGAGCTTGTGCACGTGCGTGCCTTGGTGTGTTTGTCTCCAGTGCTGTGTGACCCCCCCCCCCAGAAGAGCATCTGCCTCTCTGCGTCAGCCCTCATTCCGATGTCTTCTCTCATATTCCTCCGACACAGCTTATCTTTCAGGAATGACGTGGATGCAGGACGGGTCTTGGGTCAGAGCTCTGCAGGACTTTACCCCCCCCCCCCTCCAGCACCCTCTCCATGCACTGAGCCACATTCCGTTCGTTAGCTGCTTTACTTTCTCTGACCGCCCACATAAAAGCCGCTCGTTGCCGTTTCTCATTGTTAAAAAGATAATAAATTCATGAATAGGGATCGTCATCGTGGGACGGCGCTGGCTATCAGCAAGACGGGCGGAGATGCTCGCTTCTGCCCCCGGCCCCGATTCGCCGCTGCCTTCCCCGGCTCCCACCGCGCTGTCCAGCCCCCCGGGAAGCGAAACGATGAATAACGTTATTGTTTTTATTCTTATGTTTTTTCTTGACAGTTTGCTTACATTGAGAAGGCTTCTGATATTAAGTTGCACTCTTCCTTACATAACTAAGCATATCACCCAAAAGCAGGAAAAACTGAATAAAAAGAGCCTCATTATCGTGAAAAACTTTCGTGCCCTGTCACTGAATATTGCGCAAATACAGATTGCAGGTTAGTGAATGTACGACTAACTTATGGTATTAACCTGCTAAGTCTACTTTTTTTATAATACATTTACAGCCAATATAATCTCCACCACTGAGAAACGATGCGCTTTTAACTGGCTAAACGGCTCATAACGACGCAGGAAACACCATCCCCTTTGCGTTTTATTCCAGTGAATCACTTTGTGGGCATTAAACAAGTTGGAATGCAAGTTTGTTTTAAGCACTGGTCCTTAATGATCTTGTTGCAGTCATCAATAATTTCATTGGGTTATAATATATGATAGAATATAATGCATGCAACATTTTGCTGTAGAACATCTCGGCAGTGGATTTCAGAGAATTTCATCAGCTTTATTAGGAGGTTTCGGGGCTGCAGAGAGGAGATGCTGGTCGGGCATTTGTGCCACTTTCACCGTGTGATATTCGGCTGGCTGGTGGATACATGCGTAGCTGCACCACTTCGTGCGCTTTGTTTCTGTTTTGCTGTCGTCGTGGTGACGGACTCGGAGAACCCCATCTGAAAATGTAGATTATGTGGGGCAGTAATGGTCAAAGGAAATCTTAACCACCTGTGTGTGTGTGTGTGTGTGTGTGTGTGGTGGGGGGCAGGGTTCCGCACACATCCACAGACATACATACGCACTTTGATGCCAATGTATTAAAATGTGAAGCCGAAATTAACAGCGAGGCTGGGGGCCCGAGATCTCAGAACGCCGCTGGTGAATCCAGTGAGTAATGGCCGCCTAATTACCCCAGATAAGCTGCAGAAAACTATTCTTTGAGCTTTGTTTGATGTTCCTTCACGACTCCAGCCTCCCTTTGAGAAAGAAAACAGTGATGTGAAAAATAGTCAGTGTCCCTCACTTCCACACAGTCGCAGGTGAAATCACTGGTTGGGAATCTGCATTCTGCCCGGAGCACTTTTCCCACACGCTTGAAATCATTTCCTTGCTGAAACACCTGTCTCGAAAAAATGGGACTGTTTGCACAATAAAAGAAAAACAGGGGCCATGTGGGAGCTTATTAACCGTTAGTTAATAGTTCATTTGTGTTCCGCGATCGTGCTTCTCGCTTGTTTTGACGTCCAGCCGAAACGGTGGCACCTACCTGAGACTGCATGCATGGTCGGTCATCACCTTGCCCTCGGGGATGGAGCAAGGGTTTATTAGGCCTACTGTGATTTAAAGGCATTGTATTGTCAGCCTCAGATGCAAGTGCACGCCTTAGTTTTTATGTGGGAATGCGTAAATGTAAAAGGACAGTCTGTGGTATTCAGTCGGTAGCCGGTTGGTTCGCACACACCGCATCGGGAAAGGATCGTTAATCAATCAGAGAGGCGCCAGTTCGGCTCCGGGATCAGCAGAATCACGGAGGGATGGACGGATTGACGGGAGTCCGATGGGACGCGGCACCTCACACTTCGCCCTAAGCGCGGCTTTTACTGAATCTGCGTCGGGCTAATTACTCGGGGCGAGATTTGCATTTATAAGAAGCCCCACCCCTTATTGCGTCAGACCCCTTGTCCACAAAGCTGACAGCTCTCCCATAGCTGATATGATCTTTAATTTTCCCGTTATTCATTCACGTTTTTACCGGAATCCTTTGACTAGGCCTACTTTAAAACAGACATCGCAACCCGTGAATTCCCGTGTAAAACTGAGTCAATATTTGCTTTTAATATCTTTGTGGGACAAGTAAATGGCTACACCTGTTATGAATCAATCTTTCAATGACCTATTTACTTATCAAATATACTTATCTAGCTAACGGAGATATTTACCAACGTGTTTACTGTAAAGATCGGAGTTAATTGTACCTTTTCCTGCATGTGTTAGACACATTGTGAGGCTTATTGGGACACTTATTTTAAAAACTTTAGAGCATATATATTGTGATATATTCTGAAATGTCTAAAAGATAAAAATGCCATTCTCTAAATGACGAGCTCCCTGTGTGGTGGCTGGTCTTGACCTGAGTGCTGGGAACTATTAGCCAGAACAGATTAGTGTTGTATTACTTTGCATGCTGGGGCACAACAGACACAAACACTCACAGCCTCAGGCAATACAGGCTCTCTCTGCCCTTTCACCTGCTTTTCTGCTGCCACTGGACATGCCAACCATTCTGGGTCAGAATGACATGGGGAACCGGCAAATGGTTTCACACAACACTAACTGGACAGCAGGGGGTGTGGTGGTAAAGGACACGGGCTTGTAATATGAATGTTGAGTCTTATGAGCTGTTGTGTCTCTTTACAATGTACTGAACATAAGTTATATTCTGCTGTATGGTGAAAACCACAAGGTGTTTTTGATAAAGCGACCTGGTTTCTTTAAATGGGTGGCAGGTCATCGGTGACTCCCCATGAATGTGTGTGTGCGGGGGCATGCGGAAGACATGGTTTTTAATAGCACGGCATGAATAGGAGGACCATGTGATGGTCTCATGCAAGTGGACGTAGCAACGACAGGGTAACACCTACGACATATCCACTGTGGGGAAGATGGGGAGGAAGTGACATCAGATGGAGCGATGACTCAGGAGTGATCCCCACCTGAGCAGGTGTGGGGCTCCAATCGCACCCTTCGTGGGCGATAGCAGGGTCCCCCAGTCTGGTCCTCGGGGACCCGCAGGTGGGGAGCTGGGAGGAAACAAACTGTGGACTGTCTGTGGATCCCCCAGGGCTGGATTGGGAAACACTGGACTAGAGCAATATCTGCCATACTAACTCTGCGTTATGGAGCTGCGTGATGTTTGGGTATGCGGTAGATTGGAAAGGGTCAAATCGTCCTGCCCCGTGAACGATTCACTGCTATGGCTCACGACTGCTGAAGGGTGGTCCTCCAGCTCTGACAGAGGCAGTGTGGTCATTGCTGCAGGGGTAAGCATGAATTATCCAACCAGCTGGGACCCAACAGCGGACTTACCCAATGAGCCAATCGCAAACACACCCTTCAAGCTAAAAGAGGAAGCCGCGTCATGATCCTCTACAGGATATGACATCACCAACTGGCCCAAGCTTGGGCAGCTGGATCGACCATTCTTAACGAAGGGCCTACATTGTTGAGAACCATCTATATGTTCTTCACAAGACCTTTTACTGGAAATGAATTTGGCGTTGACCTCATTTCACGAGGCCCACAAACTCAGCTTCCCCAGTGATCTGGCTTGATTAGTTACATAACTAATAAAATAATCCTCCACTGTTTCTGGTGTACCATCCCATAATGGACAGCATAAACATTTTAACAAGCAAAAGATGTTGGGGCCTACATGTGTCAATTGTTGATTTCGAGCAAATAATAGTTATTAGTTTCTGTCCCAGCTTCCACCTCAGATTTTTTATTATTTTTTTAAATTTCCCATTGGGTCATATTCGTCTTGACTACACTGTTGTGATTGTTCACTACATTCCCCTCTAACCAATGTATTACCTGCAAGACTTATTTATGTAGTTCTTCCCCAAGATGACATACTTATCTAAGAGCAGGGTCAGTCTACTCAAGGGCCCAATCACTCTACCAACCTTGGGATTTGAACCAACAACCTTCTGATCATAGACACAGTGGCCTAATACACTGAGCCATACCTCATCCCTAAGCCTCAGACTATTATGTCCAAACCCAAGTGTGAGTAAGAAGAGGGGCTCTTCCCTCCCCCGAAAACCCCACTCACTCCCGTTTCACAAATGCCTTCACAAACAAACAAACGCTCAAAAAATCCTAGGTGGATTCTCTGCCTAATGGCCGCCTCCTGACTCATCGAGGCATCGACAGCCGGCCGATTGTCACAATGCAACATTTCCAAGATGGAAACGAATGCCAGCAACAAGTTTTGCGAGTCAGAAATAGAGGAAGTCTCCCAAAAGTGGCGTGTAAGGCACATCGACGGCGGCTGGAGTGTCGCGTGAAAGTGCTAAATATAATGGCCCCCTGCTCTGCGGGGGAGGGAGTGGCGGGGGAGGCCGGGGGGGCGTGAGGGAAGAATATAGCAGCTACTCTTTGGTGAGGACCAATGAGAAACACAGTCTGAAAGAGGTGGCAGACACTTCAGCGCTTGTCTGTACGAAGCGTTAAAGGAAATGACCCAAAATGGTGGTAGACGTAAAATGACAATGAATAGGAAGCTGTTTATCCATTTACCAAGTAAGGAACTGGACCCACCAGCAGCCACCCAAGTGTAGCTTACCGAGCCTGAGAGTCCCTCACCAGATGGATGTTAGGTTAAGTGCTACTCCGGATGCAGGGTCTGGGAATATTCTATTATTCCCAGAGGGTCAGATTACAGTCACTGCCCCCAAAATGTTCTGAACCAGGTGTGTGTGTGTGTGTATGGGGGGGGGGGGGGGAGTTCCGGTGATAAAATTAATCAACTGCGGTGGGGGGGGGGTTCCTGTAGGAGTTTGCCCTTGGGCACCCCTGGTCTGTGACAGTACAGCAGCAATGCTTAATAAGTGTCTCTCAGCATCTCTGAATGACAAAAACCTGACTTGTGATCAGTTTTTCCCTTCCCTAGTCCTGCACTGTGACACCTCCATGCTCAAATTTCTATATGGTCTGTTCATACCTGAAGAGATGGAAACTTATTAATCCAACAAACACCCCCCGCCGTCTTGCTGGTCTGTGACATTTCTGTATGACAAACACCAGCCCACAGATATCAAAAGATTGGGCACCCCTACTGTTGGCTATCTAAGGCCATATTTGAGTCATTTGTGTAAATGCATCTATAAAGATTGTAGCATGCGGCATTTAAGGGCCCATACACTCACATTAATAGGGCTGAATGAAACAGACATCGCAGGGATTCTAGAACTTTCCGAGATGAAAGGTTCAATAGCAGGAGCGGGACGAAAGGCCAAAGCAAATGTTATCTCCCACCTGCCTCGTTTCTTTGGAGTCGGAGCACGGGTCAGCACTTCACGCTGGGGTCACGTGCAGATGAACGTGGGGGGTGCTGTCAGGAGACCCCGTGATGATGTCGCGTGATGTCACGTGGACAGGCACTGGTGTGGAGGTGCGCAGTAGGTCCACGTGAGTCCCGGTAAAGCGGTTCTTACAGCTGCACTGGATCTTTGTTTCTACTGGGGACTTTTCTGGGGCATGATTTGGTTCTGCTCTACCCAGTGAAGCTGCCAGCCGCTCCGGCAGCCTATAAGGTCCACAGACTAGCTGCCTGAATGCTCTCTGCCTTTTTCATTACTCATTTACATCCACAGAACAGAACGCTCTGTCACATGAACGTTCTACTTCTGAATTCAGTTCACCCCGCCAGGACCCGAACTGGGAAACACGTAAATAGCATGTAAAAAACACGCAAAAAAGTGTGTTAAGTTAATGTGGTGCTACTGTGTGCTGAGAATCCCCAGTAACATCAGAATCTCCACGGAAATGACGTCTGTCTCACTCCCTCCATCGCTCACACACAATCCAACCTATTTCCATCTCCCCTCCCCTCCCCTCCTCTCTCTGTCCGCAGCTTGGGCAGGGGCAGCCCAGACACACCTCACGAGCCTCATGAGGCATCATCGGCTGATCTGAAGAGAAGCAGCCGTCATGTCTGGACACAACCAACAAGTTGTAGAAGCTCCAGGTCCCGTGTGTGTGACACCTCCTGTGGTCTCCTGAAGGTCATTGTCCACGCCCCCCCCCCCCCCCCATCCATGCCCCTTGAAAAGTCTGTGCAAATCACGGCCTTTAGAAATGGCCCCAACTCTTGTGACACTTCATGTAAACATAGACAGGCTGTTCTATCTCTCTCCTTATCGGTGCTGCGTCATACGTAGCAGTACAAGACGACTATTATCCACCAGCGATTTGTTTGTTTGAATGCGTCTTTAAAGAGGCCTGCACGGATATGCATGGCCGTAACGCTTTACCTGCGACGCACAGCGAGTCTGTTAGGTGTCCCTGGCTGCGTCTTCCGTCTTCCGTGGTGTTGTTTACACGGGCGGCACTCGGGAGTACACGGCTGGCTGTACACAAGCAGATGCAGCGAGACGTGATATTAGTCACACCAGCCGTCGTCGTGAAAGAGCACAGAATGCAACTCCTGCCGTCCTCCGAGTCTGCGGGGTGTCATCTCCCTGCTCAGGAACCGAAAATGATGTGGGGAAGGTCTGGAGGGGGGTGGTTGCTGTACAGGTTTATATATCAGTAACAATAAACGTGACCGTCATCGGCGTGGGACGCACGGTTCTGTGAGCCCAGGAGGAGATTTGTAGCCACGTTCAGAGAGTGGGTCTGTGGAGAAGAGCAGGCTGAATTAATCAGGATGACAATGATGATGAGAAGAATCTGAAAGAGTACAAACAGCGGGTCACCGGCTCCGGGGCTCAGGGCCAGAACACCATCAGAACAGAGTGAACCTCCTGATGACAAACACAGAGTGGCTGGCGAGGTTTAGAGGCAGCACAGAGCCACACAGGCCCGCTGCACATCAGTGGCGGGCGAGGTTTAGAGGCAGCACAGAGCCGCACAGGCCCGCTGCACATCACTCACCACCCTGTCAGATCAGTGGAAGCCTGTGATGTCTGTCCTAGTTTTTGTTCTACACTTGGTGGCTACTTAACTACACATAGCGAGTACTGGATAGGACCCAGTTCAAGGGTGGGAGCCATTCTGCACACCAAAGATGCCACTAAACTCACATTAATAGGGCTGGTTCCAGTGCTGAAGCCAAAGCTAACCTTTGATTGTAGCTGAGGCCAATTCATGTGAGAATAGGTGCCTGATGTGACCTTTTTAACCCAAAGTATGAAGGCCCCAGGCAATGCTGCAGAGTCACTGACAACAGCAATGAGGAAAGTGTCAACTTTGACTGCCTTAAGAGTCTGTACACTCTGCCTGCCACTGGAATAACACAGTTTATCTACCACGCAGATTGAGTTTGGGGGGTGTTTATAATAGTCTGAAATCAAAAGAATCCAACAGTCAATAATTAGTAGATAATAATTAATAGATAACAATGACGGCTTTAGACGAAGGAATTGTGCGGTCTTATGGGTTTTCCGTGTAACTTGATGGGGGGAACTTAAAATTTGTTCATGCTGTCAGAAACCTGCAACTGGAGACACGAATGGCAGAGGAAAGGAAACTGCGATCGTGATGCTGAGCAACAAGCGTCTAACGGCCGAGCTGACTCTACCCGAATACGGCCGGATCGGCTTCAGCCCGCAACATTTCCCATCTGAAATCCTTCAGTTTTTCCAGAATTGCCCTTATATGGCTTAAGTCCAACCCACATTTTATTGCACATTATTTACATGTTTATTATATGCTAATTACAGAAGAGCAAAGTAAATTAGTCCTTTTTAAAATTTAGTGAAATATATATCACCTTTATACACAAGAGTCCTTACTGGTGGATTTGTCCGTTTGTAAGTGTCACGGCCGTGAAAAAACACGAATTACTCCGAGATCGAAGATTGTCCCAGATAGCAACGTGTTATTGATCAACTGTGAATTATAGTTAAAAGCGTTGAATTATGGTCAGTATTAAATTATCAACGTTGAAACTGAATTGATTTTTGGTCAGATTTTCAATATTGAAAAATTGATGGTGGCAAAACCTTGATTTAATGCTGATATAAAGTGAAAGATTGAAGATCAACGTAGTTTCAACCTTTTTGTCTGATATGGAATCAATGTCATTTCGACGTAGACTATGTGTGCTATCTGGGATGTTTTCTTTAGACAGACAATATTTTCAAGACTAACAGATGTTGTGACAGGTATCGCCGTGACCGTTTATTTTTCTGCTCCGACAATCCTCAGCACTCACCTCAGCTGGACAAATCGCTCCGTGTCGCCGGTGTGTGACAGAGCGGGACAGCGCTGCCGAGCGCGCGACGTAGGGAGCGTTAATTATATTGATAAATACGCGAAGGAACACCCGCAATGTACATATTTACAGTTATTGCAAAAGGAATAAGATGTACTGTATTGTTCATATAGGAAATTAACATGAATAAATAAACGGCAATGATCTAAAGTAAACTATTTACGTCAAACCGCTGTAGGGTCACAGGAGTTTGATGGAAGAGTCGATGAAAAAGATTTTCAGTAATTGAATTAACAATCTCTACAGATATGCCTACCAATTTGTAATGTGCTGTAGTAAGAGCAACCTGCTGGTTTGACTTAAATTTTTAAACTGTTGCGCGCGTGTTGTGTTTGAGGCTTTCCGAGAACCGCGTGAAGTATTAAAGTATTTTATTTGAATTAATAATCTTGTGCGCCTCTAAAAATTCAAGTACCTTAGTCTCAAGCGGTCAAGTAGCCTACTGAAATTTCATTTCAATCCTCGCTGGCAAGAATTGGACAAAAATGGAAACAACTGCAATTTTAAAACTTTGATTTCTCAAATGTTTATTGTTGTTTTTTCCCCAAAAGTCAGCTTTGACATAGAAGAATAAATATACATTCACAATCAGATTTGTTCATTTTGCAACAAACGTTCAAGTCATAATTTCTTATAAATATATATATAGACCTATTTATGAACAAAATGTAAACAGTGTTGTCAACATTCTTACAGCGCTCCACCGAGGAGACTTCTGTAAGCTTTCGGTAAAGGCATATTTTATACGAGCACATTTTACAGCATGTTGTTGTTTTAATGGATCTCACTTGATTTGAAGCCACATAACATCTTTTTTTTTAGTATTTCATCGCTTTGAGTCCACAGATCACAGCCGTTCTGTATGAAAGACTCGCGAAGAGGACATGCGTTTCCCCGCCTCAAAAACGGGGCAGTGGTGGTGTTTCCAAAGCCCGAGGCTCCTCCGTTCCCGCGCCTAAACATGGGACGGCTGGTGGCAGGGTAAAGCTTCAGTACCCGGCATCAATGTGCCACCATACGGCTGCGCCACTGTTTTTTCTCCAGCGTACTTTCTCCACGGACCTTGCCGGGTGCTTTAGCTGATGACACAGCGCTCCTTGTCCTTCCCCTGGCCGCCGCCGACCGCCTTCTCTTTAATGTACATCAAGTCACTGTGCACACTGGGCCGCCGGGCGAAAGGTGCCAAGATGCCGTACGCGTCCGAGTCCTTCAGCTTCTTGTTTTTGATGGACTTCCTGTGCAGCATGTCGCAGTACTGCACGGAAACCTTGCGGTGGAGGTCTGGACTCATCTCGTTGGGCAGCTTGGCCAGCGTGAAGAGCGTCTGAAACATCTGGTCCACGTTGGTGTTGCGCTTGGCCGAAATCTCGAAGTAGGCGCACTGCTGGTCGCCCGCAACGAGCTGCTCGATCTCCTCCCTCTGCACTTCTCGGTAAAACTCACGGTCGCCCTTGTTTCCGCAGATCACCAGGGGTACGTCCACGTTTTCCTTAGTTTTATTTTTCAGGCAGGACTTGGTTTCGAAGATCTGCTGCTTCAGCCGCTGTACCTCCCGAAAGGAGTCCCTGTTGTCCAGACTGAACACCAGGATAAAGACATCACCTGTGAAGGGACAAGATAATGATTAATAAAGATGATTCGGATAGTTTTATTTAGATTGGATGCATATTTCTGCAAACTGTATACGGTAACACTCATGATATGTGACTTTTCGAAGATCATCACTAACAGATGCGAAGTTAATCACTGTTTCTACCAAAAGCAGGTAAGAAAAAGTTCTGCAAAATGAATTTACCTGTAAGTATGGACAGTCTCCTCATGGCAGGGAAGGGATGGTTTCCAGACGTGTCTAAAATGTCCAGCTGGTAAACGTCCCCTCTGATGCTATAGAATTTCCTATGAAAGTCCTCGATGGTCGGCGTGTACTGCTCGTCAAATCTACCATTCAGAAACCTCGAGATGATGGCCGTCTTGCCCACTTTGGTGGAGCCCAGAATTACCATCCTGTAACAGTTTTTGGCAGGTATGTCAAACTCGTTCTCCGACGGCGTCATTTTCTTAATCATGTTTGGCAGGGACACTGGCTCTCTTAGAAGTAAATGGGCGAATGCGCACTGTCCAAGGCAGTTCTCGGCGCACTGTTGCTGATCTGACTCCTCCGACGTGCAGGGCTGGTTATTTATGGGCGATCGGAGCCCCTCCTCTGAGGCGCGTCACCCGGCGCTCTGCGCTCCGCCGGCTCGGGGTTGGAGGAGAGTAACAGGTGCCGGCTTTGCGTCAGGCGCGCAGAAACACGGAATATGAGAGCCGGACACCTACCATCGGGAACAGCTAAGAACAGGCAAGCCGGGGTAGAAAAGCCAAAGATAAACACTGATTTCACGTCCTGTCTTAACTCTGAGTATTCGAACTGTCTGATTTTTTTAGATGCCATTGTAAACGTAATTTGTGTATATAGACAGACAACAAGGCTGCTTTGTCATGAAATTCATAAAAAATAACCGACAAATTCAAAGAACAAATTTCAACACGTTCAGCGCAATTGGGGACATGCAAATAAACTTATTGACGCTCCAATTCAGCACAGTCATGCACAGACTAATAAAATGACAAATATGCTCCACTTTAAACTAATGTGTCGTTTTTGTATAAAAGGATGTATTTACAATTTATTTGAATGATGTTTTATTGGCACAGTGGTTATTGCAGGCATTGCACGTGTAAGTAGTTATCTCTATGCAATACATACAAGTGAGCAGGAAAAACAATGAACAGATCAAAACGTCCTGAAAAAAATATCGCAGCCGACAAGCTGACATGTGAACGCAACTCGCATCAGCGCTCACCCCCCCCCCCCCCCCTTCTACTGCGCCTCAAGGGGGCGCTAGTGTGTCGACGCTGGGCTCAGAGCGCGCATCCAAGGAGCGGCTTTCACGAGACGAGTTTCTTTAGGAAGTTCACAACCAGTTTTTCTAACGTCTGCGCGCACCAATATTTATAATCCATGCAATTTTGCTTCAAGGTGGTTTAAACGGTACATCATTTATAGACTAACAGTGACGACGCACTCTTGTTATTTTATTCTGTCTTCTGCAACAAGTGCATTCTCCTTAAGTCACGAATCAAATTCGCCTCGGACGGACTGTTATGTTTACTTATTAAATATTGCAAGCTGCTAATTTCTCTCCATTTCTCAAGCTTCAAAAAGGGTTCGCACAAGCGTGACTTATGGGGCGTGATACAGCAATACAAACAAATAGTGGTTTTGCGGCAGCGCTCCATTGTTTAATATATGTAAACCCCATTTCTCGGACGGAACATAACTAATCACGACCCCATCTATTGCATTAGAATAACATTTAAGGAGGCTTTGCCGTAATCCTCGTGTGTCTGCAGTGACCCTGCTTTCCTCTGTCCCGATCTGCACCTGGAAACATCACACGTCTCACTGTCGCATTGCATTATAACATACCTCGGAAAAGAAATAACCATGGCATTAGGGACTCCATCGTGCCAACCAAACGTTTTCGAAATAAGTCGAAATAACGTTTTTTTTACATTTGCAGAAATAGAATTAGAACCCTGCACAACTTTGCTTTTAACTCGGGGGTGATCAAAACCGCCGCCCGCCCTTAAAGTGTCTTTTATTTAAACTGCACCTTAACTATTGCTTTTAATGAGGGAACCCACATATATAGAAAACAAATTCAACATTTAGTCCGTCCTGTATACATCAAAAAACTAGAAAGACATAAGTGATGAATAAGATCGCTGTGCACAACGAGGAGACGAAGCAGTTAAGCTTTCAGCTTTATAGAGGACCGAAACCAGGGATGGTCGACACCACTGATTTTCTTTTCGATCTGATTTCACTTCGATCCAAGGTTGGTTGGGGGGGACGAAGACGATAAGAATTTTTTACCCGGTAGGGGGAGGGGATGCGTCGGCTTACCGATCAGTTCAGTTCCCTGGTGTCTAGGCCGCTTTCCCTTATAGGTGACCCTGCCCGATTGTACTGCATGCCCTGTTTCCTGTAATAATATAAACATTTCAATTACCAAGTGAAAATCGATATGTTAACGTTAGAATCGATTCTCAAAGGTATTCAGATCGAAAGTCTATATTTCTGTATCGATCGGGACATGCCTAACACGGGATCTTGTCTTTGAACTGACCTATGAACCGCGCTCTGAGACTGACGCAGTGCCTTACACACGTAAGGTAATTATGCTGACTGCGGGCAGTGTGTATAGTGTGTATACTTTAAAATAAACACCCAAGGGATGCACCTTCAGATGTAAATAGACCCATTTTACTTGCATATTAGATAGTGGGGCGTCGATATCTTGAGAACAATAAGCCATTTTCGTTTAGACATTTTAATTGTGCAGATAGGCAATAACAGACAAAGAAACTGCTCCTATATCAATGAATATTGCATTTTAAAAAAACTATTTACTAACCTGAACTAACCGGTAATTATTTTGTCCTATTTTGTGGTTCACCAAAATAGATATGAAAAGCAAGAATTAAATATCAGTTCTGAGTGCCTGGCGGACGGCCGTGAGCAGTGCAGAGCAGTGGGACCTTGGAGGACCTGGCTGTGCAGGGAACACGGTACTGGTCAGCCCAGTAGGCAGCTTAGTAAGCCTGTTTCACAGCGTCTCCAACAGGGGGCGCCAGCGGTGATGCTTTTATGTAGGGTACCACATGGGCTTGGACTGGTACTGATGGGACACGGGACATTTCGTTCTCCATGGTGATGGTGAGCAGTGGGAGTCTGTATAATTTACTGGACTGGCACCACAGCCAGCTTTGATCACATCCCCCAAGCTCATGGAACTATGGGAAAAACCACTGTGGTGCCTCTTATGGTCACGAGCTGGACGTACATCTTCCTGAGATGTCTTTGGCTCCTAAGAGGGACTCACCTGCTGGTCGACGTCGAGTAAAACCCACAGACATTGCAGAGTTTCATGAGAATGACAGGAAATCCAGACTGGACCCCAGCTATGCAAGCTATTAGGAAGTAAATGTGGGAGGGGGGCTATATTTTGGGGGCTCGGACACAAAGTATCTCCCCTAGTCTAGGAACAGGCCAAAATGAATACATCCATTCATTGTCTGACACTGAGCACATGGTGTTCATTGCAGGTCCACAGCATCGCTCCGGCCGTGTTCATGTTAGCTAAGACAGGGGCTGCCTTTCTTCACTCCTTCCTACCCTACCTTCAAATCCACCCCGAGGGAGGGGGAGCAGGTGGTCCTGTGGTCCAGTTTCATCTCA